TCAGATGGCCTTGGCCCAAAGAGACCTCTGGTGGTGGCTAATTGATCATGGTGTCCCTAGGAACTAAACAGATGGGCAGCCTACCAGATATAACAGGAAAAGCTTGAGGTCTGGTAGCCAAAATCCCAACTTGAGTTCCCACTGTGGAGAATCCTGTCCTCTCACCCGGCTTTTGGACTTAATCAACTCACAGAACCAGAGCCCCTTTATTGAAGGGGAGGCCAGGTTCTCTTGAGGATCAAGTCCACACCATTGCTACAAGTATAGACTATAAATCTTTCTCCAAGCTTTTCCCAAAGGAACTCGCAGCCGTTTACTATGATTATCAAGCAGGCAAAAATCAGTAAGGACAGAAAATAGCTGAATAACACAATTAACAAATGTGACTTACTAGACATACATAAATAACGTACACAACCAATGCAGAATACAGAAGAACATGGTCCAAGCCCTCAAGGAGCCATTATTCCAGCAGGCTAAGAGATACAAAACAAGCAAAGTATCTAATGCCCTCAGATGACCATCACTAGGACTATCCAGCCACACACCCCATCTGCTTAACCTGCCCAAATTGAGACATTCCACGCCAATCATTACACTGAATTGTAATTGTCTTTCTCAGTTGATCCCCCACACCATAATCTGAGCTTCTGGAAGGCAAGGGCTGTGCCTTTTCCATCTACACACCCCAACCCCCAACCCAAGAGAGGAGGGGTCGACTGGGTGGATGGTGGTGAGGACCAGCTGCCAGACCACAGGAATTAGGCCCTCCAGGCATCTTTTCCATTTTCCGTTGAAGATCTGAGTGCAATTTGTTCTGGTCTGTTGCTCTGTGATCATTTTTATGGCTACCCTGGAGCTTTGTTAGTTGAGAACAGAAAAACTGGTGAGTTTTAGGTCACTGAGGTGCAGGCCATTAAGTGCTGCCTTTACCACCCAGACAGGAAGCCTGCCTGACCACACGTCACAGGCTGCCAGAGGAGCGTTAGTATGAGAAAGGCTGGACGATCTTCATGACCTCTTCGTTGTCTACTCCACGGGCCAAGAAGGAGAAATCTCAGGCCACAGTCGCTAATGTCTCCTGCTTACTCCTGCCCCTACAGTCGCTCCTGGGTAGCCTCGCCTCCTCCCCCCCCCCCCCCCCCCCCCAGGGGTGTCATTTCAGCTCCTGGAACACTAATCTCCTAACGGCAGGGCCTTTATTCATAACGTTCCCTTTGCTTAAAAGGTTCTTCCCCCAAACCCTTGTAAAAACGGCTTCTTCTCATCTTTCAAGTCACAATTTGAATGTCCCTCCTTTGGAGGGGTCTTCCCTGACCATGAAGCTCCTGCCATCCTCTAATGCTTCACCTAGTTCCTTTCTTTCTGGCATTTGTCACTACTTCAAATTAATGTGTCATTTATCTGTTCGTCAGTCCCCCACTAGACTGGAACAGGGCAAGGATTTTGTCTGGCTTTTTCGTCGCTTATTCCAAAACATTTAGCAAAGGACTCGGAACGCTGGCATTCATTTAGTATTTTAAAAATGAACTAGTGAGTGAATGCAAAGCCCCTATTTAACGTTTCCCCGCCTCTGCCCCCTCACGCGACAATCAGAGCCCTCTCTTCGCCCTGCCAGCCTGTTTCCCACGCTCCCCCTGGGGAGGCCCACGATCTGCTTCCTGGCCGCTCTCACACGGCCGCTGCCGCACCCCTGCCTGGCTCTCCTCGGGCAGCACCGTCAGCCACTGCTCCGGGGCTCGGAAGATGCTAAAGCGCCAAGGAGAGGTGTCCGGGTCCTGCCGGGCTCTGCGCAGAGGCCAGGACTCGCCCGGAGACACAGACTGAGAGATTTCCATCGGGCCCGGAAGTGGCTGCGCGAAGCCGGAAGTGGCGCCGGCCCGGCCCTCGACCGCCTCCTCTCTAGGACGGCAGGAGGCTTGGCGTCTCGGTGGTAGGCCCACGGCTGGTTGTGAGGGCCCGGCGGTCGGCGGCGAAGCCTGGAAACCAGCCCCTTGGTCTCTGGTTCCTTCGGCAATGAACGCCCGGAGAAGGGGCGAAATCCAAGTTTCAAACCAAGGAGACTGCGGAAACGGCTCGTGGAAAGGGCCTCGCGGGAGCAGACGTCGGCCGTGATTGGCCGGTTCTGCTGGAGCCGCCCCTCGGCCCGCCCGACATTTGATTGGCAGGGGCGGGGCCCCCAGGAGGAGGGCTTGCGGAGCGGTGACCACGCGGTGAGACCGGCCCCGGGAGACCCGGGCCCAGTCCCCGGCCCCCACCTTCCGGCCGCGTTCCACGAGCTCGGAGGAGCTGTCTCAGGGTAGCGCTGCGGAAGAGCAGCAAGGACCTGGGGCCGAACCAGCAGGGCTCCCCGCAGGCCGCAGGGAAGAGATGGGAAGCCGAGATGAAAACATCCCGCTCCCTCCGCCCTCCCCCTGACAGCGCAGGTCAACGGGAAGCCAATCAGTCTCGTCTCCAGTGGCCGAGAAGCCAGGCCACCCCTCAGAGCCTTCTCACCCTCCACCAGACGCCAAGACCCTTCTCTGGCTTCTCTCTTCTAGCCTCCTACCTCTCAATGAGGCCCCGTCACCCACCAAATTATGAGTACCCTTAAGCCTGGCATTCCAGACCTTTCCACAACACAGCCCTGCTACCCCCTCAGTCTTGTTTGCTTTTGTCAAATATTTGCCAAATTGCCAAGTTCCACTTTGAAAATACTTCTGCCAGATCTGTCCCAGAATGGTGGCGCTTGGGTGGATCTCTAGGGAGAAGCGGACAGAGCCCCAGAGTGGCCATCTGCAGACACTATCCATGGGGCCCTGGAGACGTGTCCGTCTGCACTGTGCCATGAAAGGGGAATAGGTTCCTCTGGATACTGTGATCTCTGAGCTTCCTGGAGGCCACAGTGAAGTCTTTAAATGAACCCGACTTTTTTGTTTTTTAAAGATGACCAGTAAGGGGATCTTAACCCTTGACTTGATGATGTCAGCACCACGCTCTCCCAAGTGAGCTAACCAGCCATCCCTATATAGGGCTCCGAACCCGTGGCCTTGGTATTATCAGCACCACACTCTCCCAAGTGAGCCGTGGGCCGGCCCTGAACCCCTGGATCTCTTGACAGACCTCTGAGTGGTTCAAGTCTTGACTTGACACCTGGCCGAGTCCATGACACACTGGCCGCCCAGCCTAAGGAACTGAACTCAAATCAAGTAGTAATTCACTGTGCCAGTGAGTCCTCTGTGCTAGGCTCTCTTGCCAAGCAATGACAGCTTCCTGTGTCATTTTAACAAGTCTCCCTCCCACCCGTTTCTCTCAACTAGAAAACCAGCTCCTTGAGAGCAGCCCTGCTTTACGAGTGAGAGTTCCCCGTAAGTCCCTCACTGAGGCAAGCAGAGAAATCCCATTTCTAGCTGAGTGATTGGAGCCATGAAGACAAGCTGAAGGGAGGAAACTGCTCTTTCTGGCCTCTTTGAGAAATAACCATCTAATTCAACCATTCCTGCCAGCAACCCTAGCCTACATTCCACTGAAATCTCCCAGACACGGCCAAGCCCTGCATGGCTCCCAACAGCCAGGAGCTCCCTGGTGTGTCCAGCTGAGTCCAACGTACCCAAAGTTCAACACTATTGTCTGTTCTACTCTTTTTAGATAGCCCTGCCTTATAATGTCATGCACTTATTAGATAGTAAATAGCTATAGAGATGCATGGAAATAGATATTTCCTATTAATAATTAATAATCCCTACAGGATAAAAATACCAGACCTGGGTCTGATCCCCAGCTTCTGGCTCTCTAGTTGTATGACGTTGGGCATGTTAGTGGACTTCTCTCTCAGCCTCAGTTTCCTCATCTACATATCTGGGATAATAGAATCTACTCACAATTGTAGTGGTGCACAGGTGATATATATACAGTGCTTGGCCCCACACCTGGCAGAGCAACCACTCAACAACCAGCATCTATTGTTACTATTCTCAGTCCACCATCCTGTTGAAGCCACTGCGTCCCTTAGGAGCTGGAAGCCAACCAGGGTTGCAGCCACCCTGGTGGCCTCATGATCCATGGAGACAGGTGCGGGGTCTCTATGACCTCCCTCATGCAGACATTCCTGTTATCTGTTAGTGTCAGAGTTGAATGTTACCTTGGGAGCTGAACCACAAATATGGGAATAACAGGCAGGCAGAACCCACCTCTCTGCAGAAAAAAAAAGTAGAGAATGGGAAACAGAAGCTACAGAAGTTCGAAACCAGGAGAAGACCAGGAGTAAGACAGAGCCAGGCAGGGGCAGGTAGGGCAAATTATAAAGGACATATACCAAGAGACCAAAGAGGTGAGAAGTAGCAGAGAGGTGGAGGCAGCCGCAGAACAGATCAAGAGGGAAAGCGGTCCCTGGTGAGTGAGGAATCCTCACTGGATTACGGGCAGGCCCCTGTGGGAGCAGGTAGAACAAGGCAGATCACAAAATTCAGTAGGGCCGGCCCGTGGCTCACTCAGGAGAGTGTGGTGCTGATATCACTAAGGCCACGGGCTCGGATCCCCTTATCGGTCATCTTTAAAAAAAAAAAAAAAAAAAAACCAAACTCAGCCCCCGGGGCCTGAGATGGGTGCTGGAGCAGGCAGGAAGCGCTGGCTTGCGTGTCCTAGCTCCTACCTGCTCCCGGCTCCAGAAGAGAAGAGTGGGGGGAGAGTCCAGGGCTCAGTGGACAGTACCTTGGGAGAGGCAATGGCAGCAGCAGGGGACCCACAATTTCGGAAATGGCTGGCTGGCTTCAGGCTTCGAAACTTCTCTACTCAGAAGCCTTTGCTTGTAGATTTACAGTCCCAACGCTCTGGAATGGGCCTTTGGCAAAAGGGACCCCAACCACCATCAAGGCAGGGGAAGAGAGGGGTGCCCAGGCCAACAGCAGTGACTCAGGGATGCCAGCATGAGGACACGTGCTCGGCCCAGAAGCCCCACCCCCACTCAGCGGGTCCGTGCCAGGGCCCATGAGACACAGCTGTAGGCCGCTGCTCCAATTCCATGGCCTTTAATCCGTGGCCAGAGCGCCTGCTCCATCTCGCCTCATCTCCCCCCACGCCGCCATGCCCCACCCCGTGCCCCCACCTCTCCTGTCCCTTCCCCCTCCCCTCGCTCCTCCCCCGGGGCCTGGACTTCCCGGGGCTCCCAGCCTCCTAGGTGGGGGTGGGTGGGGAGGTGGCCAGAGCCCCCGCCGCCGCGCCCAGCATCAGCATGGCCAGCGCCTTGGGCCCGCTGGTGTGGATCTTCTCGTGCCGGTGCAGGTTGGAGCGCCGGCTAAAGCTCTTGCCGCAGAGCGGGCAGGAGTAGGGCCGGACGCCGCGGTGGGTGCGTTGGTGCGCGGTGAGGTGCGAGCTGTGGCTGAAGCTCTTGCCGCAGTCGAGGCAGTGGTAGGGCTTCTCGCCCGTGTGCGTGCGGTTGTGCGCGATGAGGTTGGAGCGCTGGCTGAAGCACTTGCCGCACTCGGGGCACGGGTAGGGCTTGACCCCCGTGTGCGTACGCTGGTGGGTGACCAGGGCCGAGCTCTGCGTGAAGCACTTGCCGCAGATGGGACACTTGTGCGGCTTGGCGCCCGTGTGGGTGCCCTGGTGGGTTACCAGGTCTGAGCGGCGGGTGAAGCGTTTGGCGCAGCGGTCGCACACGTAGGGCTTCTCGCCGGTGTGGATGCGCTGGTGCTGGATCAGCGTCGAGTGGTGGCTGAAGCTCTTCCAGCAGGAGGGGCAGGTGTAGGGCTTCTCACCCGTGTGGATAATCTGGTGCTGGATGAGGTGCGAGCTGCGGCCGAAGCGCTTGCCACAGTCTGTGCAGGCGTAGGGCTTTTCGCCGGTGTGCGTGCGCCGGTGCGTCACTAGGTGTGAGTGCCAACTGAAGCCCTTGCCACACTGCTCGCACTGGTAGCTCTTCTTGCTGGCGTCGCTGTCGGGGGCCAGGCCCTCCTCGCCGCTCTCTGGGGCGCCCTTTTCCTCCTCGCTGGGCTTCGGGGGACTGGAGGCAGGCGGGGCTGGTATCGGCTGTCTCTCTCCCAGGGGACCCGGCTGCCCGTCCTCTCTGACTGGCCCTGAGCTCTGGCCACTAGCTGCCTGCTGCCCACACTGCGGGATGCCCCCCTGGGCCCTCCTTGCCCTGCTTCTGAAGGGCTTCACATCCCCAAGGGCTGCTGCAGACGGGGTGGGCATTTCCTGCCCCACCTCAATGGCTCCTGGAGAAACAAAGAGGGTTTCCAGCCAGGGACAGGCTTTCGTAAGGAACCCAGGGGGTGAGGAGGGCAGAGCACCAGGCGCGTCTGGATTCTGGAAGGTAAGGAAGGGCGAGGATGAGGGGAACCCTGGAAGGGAGAGACACCCTCTACCGAGGAGGGGTCTGGCAGCCCTGCCCCAGGAAGGGCCAATGTCTGCACCCACAGAAAGCAGAGAGAAAGCCCACGTGGACAAGGGGCACCTGGGAAGGATGGCGTCACCCCCAATTCCAAGACCAGGGTGCCCGTGGCCCTCACCTGGGCACACACCTCTCCTCTCCTCCTCCTCCTCTTCTCGCATCTGCCGGCCCGAGCTCGAGGCCTCGCCCTTCCCCTGCACTTGGGGGACCCAGAAAGGCCTGCTGAAGGGGAACCCTGCGCAGAAAGAGACACTGTGCCCATCAGGAGCGTCCAGGGCTGCCCAGCAGTGGACATCATCCCCCCAAAGAGTGATGGGCAAGGGGGAGCGTGGCTCTGGAAGTGCAGGGTAACGTAAAGCAGACTCCAAACATCCCTCTCAAGGTGGTCCCCTTGCCAGAGTAACTGCCAGAGATGCTCCTCTCAGTGCCGAGCCAGGCTCTCTCCTGTTTCCCTGAACAAGCAGAAGTCAAGGGGGAAGAGCCAGGCCAGGTGAGGGGCCACAGCTCCTTTATGTCATCCCAGCCCCCAAGCAGTGGGCCCAGCACTGTCAGAAACAGGAAGGAGTGCCCCCTCCTGCACCTGCACCTGGGAGGGAGAGCAGTGGGGAGCGAGCAGAGAGGTCAAGTGGGAGGGCCGGGGATAAGAGGGCCAGGGACACTGGAGACTGAGAAGTCAGGGACCAAAGGCCCATTTGCAGAGTCCCCAGGATGAAGGGCCCTGGGAATTTTGGTCAAGTCAGTAAGAGAACAGAGGGGCCCTGGCTTCCATGAACTGTGGGAGGAAAGGAATGATCAGACCCACTGGGTGGTTCAGGGCATCCCTGAGGCCTGCCGTGGGGCTGCCAATGGGTGCTAAGTTCCTCTGATCTCTCCTGACTTGCCTGGGCTTGTTGGTCTGGACTCTGGGGAATGTTAACAACAGTGGTGAGCAAACCAGAGATAATTAAAGGAGTGAGTGAGTGGGGCAGCTGGTGTGACCCAGCAGGGGTCTCAGGACCACCTTCAAAGTCACAGGGTGGAACTGCCAAGGCCCTGGATTCCTGGACTAGCAGGTGATGTGCTGAATGAATGAATGAATGAATGACAAGGAACGAATGAACACTGAGTTTTCCATAAGTCCTCATAAAATTCTGTCAAGGAAACTAGAATCTGAAACTGAGGATTCAAAAGCCCTGGGACTTAAGTACCATCACAGAAACCGAGGGGGCCAAGGCACCTGGGAGGAGTGCACGCCCTTGAGAACAGATGTGACGCCTGAGTCTGCAGGGCCTTGGAGAACTCAGTTCATGCCAGTTCCCACCAGGGCAAGCAGCCCCAGAGCCCAGAGCCAAGCTCTCTGCTCAGACACCTCTGAAGATGGGGCTTTGAGAAGGAAGAGAAAACTACAGGCATGAGTGAGCACTATGAAAGAACTGAAGAAAAGTGGAATCCCCGAATCTGCACTGTCCCATATGGTAGCTTCTAGCCGCATGTGGCTATTTAAACTCAAATGTGAACTGATTAAAATGAAACAAAATTAAAAACTCAATTGCTCCGGCCACAATTCAAATGTTCAACAGCCATGTGTGGCTCGTGGCAACCATACCACGAGCATTTCCATCCTTGTGGAAGGTTCTACAGAACAGCACTGTCCAGATGCACAATGAGGAAGCAGAAGGAGGGCAGGGAGGGAGGAGGAGTGGGATGCGAGCGGGGAGATGACACAAGACAGGCCCCACTGCTGACACCACAGGGCCTCAGGAGGCTGGACACCCAGTGCAGGGACGTTCTTACCCAAGGACAGCCCGTTTCTCTTCTGCAGGACGTCCCTGTAGAAGTTCTGCTGTGTGTGATCCAGCCGTCCCCACTCCTCCCGGGAGAGGTACAGCGCTACGTCCTCAAAAGTCACTGGCATCTGAAACAAGGTGAAACGCCCACTCTCCAGGACATGTCATAGACATGGTAGAGTGGCATGACGGTGCCAAGACATGCGGTGAGACCCCAGACTAGTCCCAAACCGCGTCTCAAATGAGGTCTGCCTCTTGTGTCTGATGATAAAGCATGAGAGCCACCCAAGGAGGGCCTTTTTGGGGCAGAGGACAAAAACAAAGCGGTATTTTCAGGGACCACAGCTAAAGCTCAGGATCTCCAAACAGCCGCCACTTTCAGCCCAGACACCAAAGGATGGTTCACAGAAACCCTGTCACCCCACTTCACTCTGCCTTTCCTCCAGCCTTGGCCAGGCCTGGCCATGTTCCAGCTCCAAGTGGGAAGGTCAGTGGGGTCCTGGCTTCATACGTGGAGCCAGCAGGTACAGGAAGGTCTGAGTACCACATGGGGGCTGGGGTAGGAGGGAAAAGGTATAAAGAGCCCGATGGAGACACTCACCTGGGACCATGCGGTAAGGAGAGCTGCGGCCATCTGCCGGTCTCTGGTCCTCCCCTCATGGGAAAGCACAGGGATCCGGGGGGAGGGAAAAGCTGCAAGAGGAGGGGGGTCTTCAGGTCGGCCCACTAGTCCTGCTGGGCCCTGCTGCTCCCCAGCCACCCACAAACTCCACCCCCAAACTGACCCAAGAAGAGGGTATGACAGCTCTGAGGCTGCTAGAGGGCCTCCAAGAGCCATGGCAGGAGAGCTCTTCCCCTCGCAGCACGTGGAGACCTTCAACCCCACCCAAACTGAGCTTCTTCCCTCCCTGCCCTTCCCTACCTCCGCCAGGCAGGAAGGGAACCTTCTCCTTACAGCCATGGCTTAGGGGTGCCCAGCTCCGTGCAGCTTGAGCCCTGTCCTCCTGCAACGCCCCCTCGAGGTGAGGCTCTTCCGGCTCCACTTTAATGTGCAGTGACTCCCGAGCAGCTCCCAAGGGCACCATTTCCTCTGACCCAAAAAGCATTTCTTGACAAGGATGTTCATGGCCTGGAACCTAGAGATGACAGTCCCCATCAGCACCTGGATGGAGAGTGGGAGGGACGCCCAGAGCTGCACATCCAAGGGTCCTGGAGGGGCAGACACCTCGCCTGTGGGAATGCTCCACAAGCGCAAGGCACTGCTGCCAGGGCTGGCCATGCTCCCTCCTCTCCAGCTCACCCCAGCAAGGACAGCAAGACAAGGAAGACTCATCCAGCCACCAGGGCACAGGGACATGGTGCCCCAAGGGTGGGGACCTCTTCTCCCCCAAGCCTCACCCTGCCCACAGCAGTGTGGACCGCTGTTTTACAGTATATGAGGAAATCAATGGTCCTGGGTTGAATAGTGCCCCACAGCCCCCACTGGCCAAAACCCACATCCACCCTGAACCTCAGAGTGTGACCTTGTGTGGAAAAAAGGTCTTTACAAAGGTAACTAAGGATCTGGAGATGAAATCATTCTAGATTTAGGGTGGACTCTAAATCCAATGCCTGGTGTTCTTATAAGAAGGGGAGAGGATACAGAGACACAGGGGAAGAAGGCTGCAGAAAGACAGAGGCAGAGACTGGAGGCACGCAGGAGCTGAGGGACCCCAGGAGCCCTCAGAAGCTGGAAGAGGCAGGAAGGGTCCTCCTCTGGAGCCTTCAGAACACACCCCTGCTCACACCTTGATCTCAGACTTCTGGCCTCTGGGACTGTAGGAGAATACATTTCTGTGGTTTTAAGCCACCCAGTAAGTGGTAACTCGTCACAGCAACCACAGGAAACTAACACACCAAGGCTCAGAGATTAGACAACGGCCCACAATCAGTAGCTCAAAAGTTTTAGGAGAATCACTTCTCTTGCACTGGAGGCCCCCTGGTGAGGCCGCATCACCACCTACAGCACAGCGACTGGCCAGCCTTCAGCCTTCGGGTGGGGACTTGCACCCATCCCTCCACCCCAGGCTGCGTTTGGGTCTTGAGGGGAAGGACCCTCAGGCCAGAGTGCCCGGGTGCCAGACCCAGCAACACCCCTCACAGGGGTAGGGGGACAACCTCCAAGACTCGGCTGCTCTGCCACCCACACAGAGCGGTTATGAGGTGCACACAGGTAACGAGTGGAAACGAACTGCCAGCTCCGGAAAGTTCTGGATAAACACAGAGCAGCGGTGGTAATTATTATTATTACTCTACCCACATGCACTTGAAGAATCCAGCATCAGCAGACAATGCTGGCACGTGAGGCTGGCTGGGTGTTCAAGACATACATGAGAGGTCATGATGGGAGGGACAATGGTGAACGGTGGCAACACTTCTCTGTACTCATATGGTGTGGAAACAGCTGAACCAAGACTTGGTTGATATTTATATTTACAGCCACCGGGAGAACTAGTCGACAGGACACAGGTCTCTGACTTAGGTTCTAGTTGCCATGGGTGTTCGTGTTTCACATATCATGATAATCATCTGTTATGGACTGAACTGCTCACAGAGGACGCTTATGCCTATTATCTCCTTCCAGCCTCCCAGTGAGCTGGCGAGACAGGTGTGAGCAACAGGTACATTTTCCAGATGACACACCTGGTTCCCAGAGGCCAGCAGACCTGCCCAAGGTCACACACCTGCAGCTGACTCATACTCCTCAACCCCAAGCCCAGAGGCCCTGGTCCCCTAACAGGTGGTGATTTTACACACACGCATGCACAGCAGGAAGGACTGAGAGTCAGACACAGAGATGAGGAGATGTGGTCCCAGGGAAAGAGGAGTGGAGAGTAGAATAAGCCTTCCCTGTGTGCCTTGAGCACCATTCAGAGAGAAAAACCTCACGGGTAAGACCCTCACATACTGCCCCTGCTATCTCATGTGGCCACTGGCTACAGGATGCAGAAGCAAAGCAAAACAGTTCCACTATAAATTCCAGATGGGGGTATGTCCCATCGTGCCACCCTCTCTTCAACACCCCCCGTGGTGCCCCCATCCACCAGCCCTGCTCCCTCAGTGAGTCAAATTCTTCCACTGGTCCAGACCCCCTGCCTTGAAAATCCCTTCTCCTTCCAGTCCCTTCCCTGACATGCCTCTCTCACCCGGGCCACCATTCATACCTCCCGGGCTTCCTCCTTGTCCTGGGTAGCCTGGATGCTTCCACCGTCTGCAGACATTTTCTGTTTCAGAGCAAGAAAGAACAGCTGAGTTGCTTCTCCCTCTTTTTGGCCAAGCCACCTCCAGCTTCTGGCCAGGAGCCTGAAGGAGCAGAAAGAAATCAGCCAGCATTTCCTGGACATCTCCAAAGTGCCCTGAAGATCCCCACACCAGAGCAGAGCTCCCTGGTCCCAATCAGAAAAAAAAGTTTCCCAGACCCTATCTCATGGTTCCACTCTCTATGATGTGTTCTGATTCCTCCTTTTGAAAGAACGCTATTTTCTGTCATCCCCCTTGTCGCTGAAGCATCTCCATGCAATCACAGCTCAGTGCACTCAGCTCAGGGAAAGCCGGGCTAAATCGGAATCGGTATTTCCTGTCATCAGGAGCAAAAAGTTCTGCAGAGAGCCTACAAAACAGGTGCTGGTGGGTCCCTGCCTGTCACAGCCAGTGGAATCCAGACCCTGCTGTCCATCAGCTACTGGACACACACCCTGTGCCCCAGGCTAACTCCCAGCCCATCCTGGGATCCAGAGATCAACCTGCCCACTCTCAGCAGTTCATCCCGCTCACAGTCCCAGTGGACAATGTCCTTCTCCTTCCCAAACCCCTTTCTCTCCTGCCAGCCCGAAGCCTTCCACCTTTGACCCCGTCCCCTCCTGCAAGCTGGCCACCCGTGCCAGTCTCGGGATCCAGGTGCCCTCCCCAGCACCCCCTTCTCACCGAGGTAGAGGCGGAGGGGGCACCTGGGGCCCCCTCCCCCGGGAAGGGAGTCTCCGCAGCCTGCACGGGGAGGGCGGGGGAGCCGGGTGGAGACTGGGATTAGGGACAACAGGAAGTCCCTCCCGGATCCCGTTCCCCATACAGCTACAGCCCTACAGGGTTCCCGGCTTCAAGGGTTCCGGGTCTGGGGTCCTGAGCCCGGGCTGCACCTGCTCTTGGCCGGAGGTGACTCCCAGATCCGCAATGCTGGCTCGCAATAACTGCTTTACCCAGCACGTCTTGGTGATACCAGCCAAGCAGGGGCACCAAAATGCAAAAATGGGAAGATGCATTTTGTGGAAAGATTTTGATGTTTGATGTTTCAAAGAGAGCACTACGGTCGTCCTCACGGGAGGAAGGGCACATTCTTTTCAGCACACAGGACTTTTTTTTTTTTTTTAAAGATGACCAGTAAGGGGATCTTAACCCTTGACTTGGTGTTGTCAGCACCATGCTCAGCCAGTGAGCGAACCAGCTATCCCTATATAGGATCCAAACCCGCAGCCTTGGTGTTATCAGCACCACACTCTCCTGAGTGAGCCACGGGCCGGCCCAGCACACAGGACTTCTGAAGGTCTTACAGTGCCTCCTTGGGGCCCCGGATTCACTTAAGGCCCCCAGGACAGTCAGAGGGTCCTCTGGGTCCCCCCAAGACCGGCACAGAGTTCTCTCTCCCTAAGAGTGGCCTTAGGAAACAGATAGGCTGGGGAACACCCCTCCCCTCAAGCCTGATGCCCCATACCTCTGAAAAACGTGAGATAAATCTGATTTTTCCAGACCCACTCCAGCTCAGGGATAGAAAAAGGATAAAGAGGTCTGGCTCAGCTATTCATGGGTCCCAGATCCCTCGAGATCCTTGGCAGCTTCAGATTCCCAGTCTCAGGCTCTGTTCCCCATTACACCCTGATAACTAAGGCCCAAAATGAGAGGACAGAGACAGTGTTTTACTTCCTGGGGTGAGAAACCATTTCTCCCGGGCATGGCATAGGGGCTGGGTGTCAGGACAGGGGTGGAGCCCAGTCCTGGACTCAGATTCCAGGAAGGTTCCTCCAGGAAATGCTCCCATGCCCACTGCCCTGGGCTCACCAAAGTCCTCTGAGACTCACTTCTCCACCAAGACAGGCACAACTCCCCCCTCCCCCCAACCCCACCCCTATATCAGCTCACAGGGGTGCTGTGTGGGCTCACGAGGGTTTAATTTTCTTCCTTTTTTCTTTGGCAGCTGACTGGTATGGGACTCTGAACCCTTGACCTTGGTGTTATCAGCACCACACTCTAATCACTTAATTTTTTTTTTTAAAGATGACCGGTAAGGGGATCTTAACCCTTGACTTGGTGTTGTCAGCACCACGCTCACCCAGTGAGCAAACCGGCCATCCCTATATAGGATCCGAACCCGTGGCCTTGGTGTTGTCAACACCGCACTCTCCCGAGTGAGCCACGGGGCCGGCCTTTAATTTTTTTTTAACTTAGTTTCCAACATTTAAAAGTTAAGGAGAAGCTTTATAAAATTAAGTTTTTTAAAAATTACATTTGGCAATGCTGGACCCATATTCCCCACATTCAGGGCCTGCTTTCCAGATGACCACAGTACCCACTTGGCCTTTGTCGCATGTGAGTCTGCGACTCTGCTCTTCTTAGAGTTAAAGATGTTTTAGGAGTCCTGAGATTCTGATTGATTCTGCTGTCAATTTGATGAAAGAAAAATTACCCCAGTGTTTGACTCTGGTTAGTATTTCCAGGCATTTCAACCTTCACAGTGAACAGGGGCATACAAATTTGTAGCTCTCCGTTTTCAAGCCAGAGAGCTATAAACTGAACCCAAGTTCAAGGCAGGTCCTGGAAAAGATGAAACTATCCATCACTGTGCCACCAAGGCACAGCGCTGGGTGTCCAGACTGAGGGAACTCACTCCTAAAAAGAATCATTCCACCCCACAAAGTCCCAGGAGTGCACCGATTCCAAAAAAGTGGATGTGTCATGACTCCTGGGCAATAGTTTCTCTACCAGCAAAAGGAAACACTTCAGGGATACTGCGGGAGTCCAGGGGTTTGGGCCCCACCATGGGCCAACCTAAAGTGGA